CCTCTACGGGCAGAGTAATCCTCTCGTTGAAATAGACTCGAGGGGGATCGTGTTTGTGATTATGGGAGAAGGATCGCATTTTGTGAAGGGAACCTATTCCAGGAGCAAATGGGAAAAACAAACCCACTAATGGTAAGTAAGAATCGCGAGAAAATTTCACGAAGTTCAGAAAAATTTCGAATAAATTGCAAATTTTGCCGTTTCACCCACTGATTTTGTAACCGGGCCAGCGCCACTGTCCCACATTTTTCGGGTTAAGGCCTGACAGGAATTAATTTGCATTGTAGAACTATGCATGCATAATAAAACATTGGTATAAGCCTCCATAGGGAAAAATCGCAAAAAACTGTTTATTAGATGGAGGGATGGGTTGTGGAGAGGGTAGAGTAAGGTTCAAATAGACGACATGTGGCACTTTCGTGGCAAAAGGCGCGCTATCAATGGCGTGATAAGTCGTCGAAGATGCCCCAAAGAACCTCCAGGTCTGATCCATATCTACGGTTGGCTTATGGACGGGATGATGTCATATCAGGATCAGGATGATAGCAATGTATTTGATGAAGGCGTTGCCGCCACCGTTCGATTTTCCCTTTTAAATGCACTGTTGCACTGGCCATCTAAATAGCCTATTGATCGCGCTTGGCATAATGCCAGGCATGACACGCGATTAGATTCTCGGAGAAACTCTTTACTTGAGTGAGGTAGCAGGACCACAATCACAGCGGTGGTGGTACTGTCGCGACTTGAAAGTGCGCGACATTGGAGCTAATCGCTGACCGCTGCAACCGCTGCCATTTTTATCATTGCAGCATATGTGGCGTCTGGGCTCTCTCACGTATGACGTGTTCTCTCGCGCTTTTCCTCTCCTCCAGCTATGTCTGTAGCTTGATCGAACCTTACAAGAAGAATTCAGTGTTTTCAATGGTGCTTTCTGCTTTTTCCGCTAAGGTTCCTCTCGATATCCTATCTAGTTTTCCAACAACACAGCAATTCGATCGCAACCCGTGCCTTTAAGTACACCCGAACGATCTCCGTGTTACTGGTAAACTCGTCCACTCCCAAGAGTAAGGTCCCATTTCTCGGGTTTTGAACGTTTCTCTTAGTTTTTTTTACACCATTTGACACCTCTACTTCCACGTCAACGGTATTGCCTCACTGCGAGACCTAGCATAAACCTGCCTTCAGCCACGGCTAATTGTGTCGCGCGGCGCATACGGTAGTGGACATCGATAACAACAAAGGTCTTACCTCCCCTTCAAAAAGCGAGAAAGTGTCGGGTGCAGACCATACACCACAAGTGACGACGGCCTCCACAAAATGCAAATGTTTTCTGCCAATGAAATGATTAGCCTGTTGCAGTTACATTATCATTTACCAAAAATCAGCTATCACTATGAACCACTACTAACCAGATTTACTTGGAGGCCGTCGTCAGTTGTGGTGTTTGGTCTGCACCCACACTTTCTGGCTTTTTGAAGGGGGGGGTTAGGTTATCTTCTCCGGAACACGGTCAGAAAGGCTTATCACTTCTTAACACAGACTCTTCCAGCAAGAAATTGAACACTCTTGCAACCGCATTTGTTCAACGCAAAACCAGACCTCCTGACATAGCCAGCCAAACCAGACCTAATGGCATACAGCCAGATTATTGATCGTTTCTCTTTTATTATTTTACGAATAAAAATTCAGTAGGACCAGAAACTATTTGACGAAATAAAAACATCAGTAAGACCAAGATACTCTCTATTTCGGAAACGAGAAGAGCGTCGAGTGCAGACCACACACCACAAGTGACGACGGCCAAAGAAAAAAGAAGAATTACTTCCTTCTTGGCCGTCGTCACTTGTGGTGTGTGGTCTGCACTCGACGCTCTTCTCGTTATCCGAAATAGAGGGTAAATATTATACAAGCTACCCAGACCATGGAACAGTTCCAATTATCGGGGAAAAAATGGGGAAATCGCATTTAAGAAGTTCCTCATGGCAGAAGTCCTTAACGGGAATTGAGAAAAAATGAAAAGGTACCTGAATACCATTAGGAAGATGGAGACCGTCAACAAGTACAGTAGTTTCACCAGTGGAGATCTTATGCTTGAAAATCCTGCAAATTGAAGCCTAATTTTATAGACCTCTTTCCAATAGCTCAAAAATAAACCAATCGAAGTCAGACGTGGTCGGGCCAAGCACTGAGAAGGTCCGTACTGCTAGAGCAATTTTTCAGCCTTAAATTACCTGCCAAGAGGCTCGTGTCCAATTATAATATGAACCACATGCCGCCGATCCCATTTAGATGAACTGTCCGTGAACACAATCTCGTCCTCGTTCAGGACCTGAAACAATCTCGACCAACCATTACGAACATTTTGCTACCGCACATAGTAGCCGAATATCAACTACTACCGTAACCAAGTATTACGGTATTAACTTACCTCCACATCGTTTAAAAAGCGCATGTATCGCCCGTCAATTGGTACATTGCTGTTGACAATTTGTCGGAATGTGCCTAGAAGAGTAACAAATTCATTGGCGTTAAGGCGGAGTTTACCAATAGAAGGCAGCTCATTAGAAATCAAGGTAGAGGTGGTCAGTGGTGCAGGGATGAAGAAAAACCATGAGAAACGGCCCAGAACCCGAGAAATGGGACCCCTTCCTTGCCCGTTGATTTCCGCATTGATGCGACTCATCGCGCTGCCCTCTTCAACGCTAACGCTCTCTCTGCCACCGGCTAGAGACCTGCGGCGAGCGCTTAGCCAGTCGGTGGGCGGGCAGCGGCGTTAGCGGAGCGGGGCAGCCAGCCACGTTAGTTCGCCGGGGCCATGTCCTGTCCATCGGCCCTCGCACCCACAAGTGAGGCCGCCTGCCATTCCACTAGGTGAGCTTGCCCTTCTTCGACTTCGACCTTGTCGTAGAATCCTCCTCAAAGGCTGATGGTGGTGGTGAAGGGCGTATTGAGACCCCCCCCCCCAAAAAAAAGGGAAAGGGTGGGAGTTTTTTTCGGAAAGTGCGAACACAACAGTTGATCTTGGGAAGAAGGCTTTTATTTTAGAGCTCACCACTGGCTGGCCCCTTCCTTTTCCTATTCATTGACGGTCATCTTCGACTCCTGTTTGTATTCAAGCAGAATAACACACCAATTGAATCTCGACCCATGCGTTCAAAGTATCCGCAATTTGAATTGGCTTTAAAGGCACAACCCAGGCAGAGGTCGTGTGAACGCTTCCCTTCGGTCTGTAGTATAGACCCCTAGAGGACAATCACAAATGTGGCGTTCCCGTGCACGGAAACCAACCGATAAGAGCGCTTGGGCCTTGCAAAGTAAGCTGCCCAAGCTGCAGTTTTTTTCTTATCAGGCTGTTGTCTGGCGCTCTCTCATCTGTAGCGCTCTCTCGCCTCATACTCTCCTCTCCGCGCTTAGTCTCTCATTCCCTTAGCACAGCCGATAGGAAGGTGAGTGAGCCCTCACCCTAAGCGTTTCCGACGGATTCTTTTCTTTTTTTCTACTGTCCGCCATTCGCATAATATTAGGTTGTCTCATAAATGATGTCGTTTTTTTTCAACCAAAAAATTTTCATCTAAATCCTGAAACTTTTACATCGTTTATATACCATTCGAAAGAGAATTGTCTGCTCTACAAGAATGCTGTGTTCCTTTCCACTATGTTCCAGGGTTTTCAAATTTTAGGCCTGCGAAATGGGAGGTCCCGCCGACAAAAATTGACCAAACCGACAACTAGCTCTAACTTTATTTCCCTTCGGAGAAATCAATCAATGATGTACCCTCTACTTACTCATGACCTCTTCTGAACATTCCACCCTTAGGTTGCCGAAAAAGCTTTGCCGTGTTTCTTTTCGAATTGGCTGACGGATAAGCCATAGCAATTTTCAAATTAAAATTGTTCCTCGTAAACGTCATTGTTTCATATCGAGTGGTGTTCCTTTTACGAGCAGCACTTCTTCTGCTCTACTCGCTCATTTGTTTTGTTTCTCTGTTTGTTGGGAATTAGTTCGAATTTTAGATGTTTCGGTATAAGGTGCTTTACCGCGAAAGTGACCACATTTCTTTGAAAAAAATTATCCCTTAGAAAATGAGAAAATCAACCAGTCGTACATTCCTAACTTAGTCATGACTTGTTCTTCAAATTCAACCAGTTCTTCAACGTCTCGGCCATAAAAAAATTTCGACCTAGATCACAGGTAATGGTGCTCGATCGTCGAGTTCTGGTTGAAAAACCAGCTCTGGAAATTGAACGACGCGATTTGTAGGAAAACCTAGTAGTGTAATGATTAGAAGAGGTCATGCATAAGTAGAAGGTACATCATAGATTGATTTCTCCCAAGGAAAGATAATGTTAGAGATAGTTGTCGGTTTGGCCATTTTTTGTCGGCCGGACCTCCCATTTCACAGGCCCAAAATTTGAAAACCCTGGAAGAAATGTGGAAGTGGGACATAGCATTTTGTAGAGCAGACAATTCTCTTTCGAATGGTACACAACACGATGTAAAAGCATGGAGGTTTAGATGAAAATTTTTTGGATGAAAAAAAGCGACACTGTTTATGAGACAACTCTAATACATTCGCCTTCGTGTGCCAGAGCCACACCAATGTGATCTTGGGGCATGGCTTAAGCTCCTACTACCATAGGATACCTACCAGCTTTCATATCCACGATGTAAATTCCGAGATATGCATCTGCGACCACAAACTCCTTTTCATTCAGACGACGAATGCCAAGAGGACGTCCACAAATAGGCTCGGTTTCGAAAGAACCTGTAAAGGATAGAAAGTGAACCAGCCCCATTTGAGAAGAAAATTTGAAAGAAACAAAACCTAAAAGCAGAAAAAAAGTAGCTACGGACCAATTGATTCAATATTTTAACGACAAATGAAAAACAGAACAGGAAAGCGCACAAAGCCGATGAATCCCGTGGAGTGCGCCATGCATTCGACATGCGCCCAAGCGCAGTTGCATTAGCTCAACGAGCCATTTTCCCATAGAAATTATCCACTAACTCTTATATGTGGTTATTAACAGATTACTAGCAGAGCTCTGATTACTCTTGGACTGGCATGGATTCCTAGTGCCTTTTAAATTCCCAGATCAAATCTCTCAATGAATATAAGGCTAAAGATCGAAGATCTGCCCTCTTTTTCAGCCCATACTTCTTAAAATTTATTCGCCATCTCTAAACGGTCCCATGAAGGTGGTAATGTGGTATGTGGTAGCTGGCTATGCACACCGTCCATGGATCGAATCTTGGACCAAAACCACCCCAGCCAACCCAGTTTTCCACCATCCAGCATCGGTTCCTTGTCACAAGACTCATGTGGGAGGACTTTTACACCGATTGATCGTTTTTCCTCATCCTGCACCACGTAATTTTCTTCCATTTATAAGGATTATGAATGGAAAAAAATCACGTGGTGCATCCAAAAAGAGTTATGAATGTCGAGTACTCGAAGAAGAATGGTCCGCAGCGCAACTCTCCATTTCCATCAGTGAAAGAAAAGGAACATAGAGCCTGGGATAAACGAAAGACGAAACTTACCGCATTTTCGGTGTTTGGTGAACCGAACTTCTTTCACGATCTTGCCGCTTTTTATGTGGACAACTCGTCCATCGTACAAACCAGTATAGATGGAATCTGAAAAGGAAATATCCCAATCATTGATTTTTACCTATTTGTTGAAGCTTGATCAATGAACAAGAGCCCCCTTTAGGGGGGGGGGAAGGGGTGGGTAATTCTTGGTTTTTTCGTGTCATTATTCAAGATGTACCCTTTGTTTGCGAGCACCCGGGGAGTTCTGCAATACGGACTCCACAGCATAATTGACGACCTAAAGAAAATCTGATAATAATTATTTGATAGTGGTAGATGATGGCTAATAAATGGTGGTTGTAATGTAATAAGTGAAAATTGGTGAGGGATGCAAATGATCGTCGGCTAAACATTCCGTAACAAAAGACCATTACATTTTGCGGAGACTGTCGCCAATTGTGTGTGAAGTCCGCAATGGACACGCCCCTGGACGGCGGCTGTACAAAATACCAATGTCCTTCCCTTTATCTCCTACAACCTCGCTGGCAAGAATTTCTCCTATATCAGGACCCGTCTCAATTTCAGCGTGTAGCACTTGCCACCGACCCGAAATACACTCGACCGGCTAAGACAAAACTGCGTAGAATTTCGTGACCATTCGTTTATTACATTCGGTGGGACGACCGAATTTCCTCTTCAAAGCATGCGTTGATTTATTACTTCGTTTACTGGCCGTTTGTGGGTTTCACTGGCTTTACAACTTCCGGTATCTTGAATACGGTCCAGCCGAAGTCATACTGTACTGTGCTTGTCTTGTGTGCTTGTCTTTGGTAGATCCAGTGGACCTGGTGAAGGTACGGTGTCAAAGATCTAGTAGGTGTGTGGAGATTTTTGGTCGGATACTCATAAACTCGACTTCCATCCTTTTAGGCTCCGAAGAAGGCAAACTCGCCGAAACGTTAGCCAATAAACTGCCAGTATCAACCTGGTTTACGGACTACTTGATTTTTCCTCAATGGTCCTGCCGCGATGGCTAGAGCACAGACGATTAGAGAACGGGTGAATGCCCTAGGACTAAGCCTTGGAGAGGAGAGGGACCCGCGAGAGAGCGCAGAGGCGGTTTAAAGGGCTGAGTTCAAGTAGTCCGTCGACCGTATCAACCTCGCGTACAGTTCAGCAGAGCTAAACCTTTCAACCGCTAACATACCGAGGTTCACCGAGAGCCGAACATGGCGTCTAATTCATTTACCGTTCATTATCAGCGCTCTCCATGCACCTCACCTCCCACTCCAGACTCCTCCTACCCTCTCGTCACCACCTTCCCCAACATTGCTACCATCACCAGCCATTGACGGTCATGTTCAACCGTCCAGGGCAAAGCTCAACAGGGGTAAGGTCATATTGTGATTTTTGAAGCGATGGGACCGTAACTGGTAAAGGAAATTTCGAGACGGAAAAGTGCTGGACAAAACCACCTTAATCAGACATCGAGGAAGGACACCGAAAAGAGTTTTCGCGGACACCTGATCAAGGGTTGAACTGCTCTCATGCCTAAGCTCACTCTACTGAAATTTGGTGATAGTGCTTTCATACATAAAACAGCATAAAATAGATACCTCCTTCGATGACAAGGGACTCTGGACCATCGACTTCACCTTTCAGAATATACTCGACGTCTTGCAACTTATTGTTTATAGCTAGTGGTCCTTCGAGTTTTGGGCGTGGTGGAAGCCTGGAAGCGAATGTTGAGAAGATCGTTTATAAAGGACTTTCTCAAAGGCATAGTCATGTGCGTCACATGTGCAGTCACTGGACTTGGTGGGTGTGCTCTATGGAGTTTGCCCAGCGAAAGCTGACAGAAGAAGAGGAACGAAGAAGAGCGAAAAATTCATGGCAAATCCCGAAATGGTCAAACGGTAAGAGGGTTACATGATTGGTGCTAATCTATTCATTCAGACAGCAATGTGAAAGACCTTCACTTCTAAATGAGCGTGATGCCATAGGTTCAGAGCCATATAGGCGTCTAAAATGTGCTTGTTCGAGCTGCGTAGGCCCGTCAGTAATCACAGCTTTACCATCCTTCTACACTGAAATCTCTCTGGCGAAATCTTTGGGCTTTAGTGGAAAAGAAAGGCTTGGCAGATAAGAATTCAGATTCCTAACAATTAAGGAACACCTTTGGTCGTTGGGCTGCCTCCAGTACATACATATGATCGGAAACCCTGGGAGAAACATGGCCAATCATTAAGGCTAGCGTCTCCGTAGATGCTCGTCTAGGTGAAAAGGGCGCTCCTTCATCCTAGGCAAAATATTGAAAACAGGGCCGATGGTACGTGCATTAGGACTAGTCGAAAGCTCAGGAGAGGGGAGAAACGCCATAGAGGTGGAGAACATAAATTTGCTCACCTCCTACTACAGAGTCCCTTTACCATCGGCGCGATGTCATAGTTTGCGAATCGAGCGATTCGCCAGCGATCCGAGCGTTGCGCCAGCGAATCGACCGATGCACCAGCGACTCGACACTGTTTGAAAGTGGCGGGACCCAACGTTCAAAGTCCACTTTAAAGGACCACACTGTTTGAAAGTGGCGGGCCTTCCTTTAAACGTTGGGTCCCGCCACTTTCAAACAGTGTTGAGTCGCTGGTACATAGTTCGACTCGCTGGTGCATCGTTCGATTCGCTGGTGCAACGTTCGATTCGCTGGCGCAACGCTCGGATCCAGCGATTCGCAAACTATGACATCGGCCTGAGGCTTAGCCCCGAGCACAGACTACTCTTCACTTGAATGTCCCCCCAAGGACATGAGCGCCTCAAAATGAAACCAAGAAGGAAAGTGGGCATAGGCTAGCGAAGAAGTGCTCGAATGCCATTGGTGGGAGGAGCTTGTAGAGAGGAGGCGGGATTTCTCGCAAAAACCTATCATTCTAATTCGAGGCAGCCCAGAGATCGAGAAAAAATAGACAGATAGAGGAAGTTGACTGCTAGAGATTGGCTAATCGTGAACCGTGGTCGAGGAACCGTGTTTAGCGCACGACAGAGTGCGACGTCAAAGAGGAAGATGAACAAGAAGTAGAAATGCTGAACACTACTTACGAATTTAACCATGCAGAACTCACTCATAGATTTGAGCAGTCCGCGTTTTTGGATCGCTGTATCGATAGAACAACGCCGCCCAAGACGCCAACAATCCTCTGAAACATTTTTATATCGAAAAAAGTGACACCTGAAAGCTTCTTCCATGTTTTCCAAAAACAAAAAAAAAGCAATGGTGGCTTTCGGGTCAAGCAAATTTTTCTTGCTGACTCACACATCAATAAAAAATTTGAAAAAATAAATTGCCTTGGAAGAGCAAGCGCGTCACTGCATGGCTCCAATGGCGTACCCCAGCAAGCGATCAGAAACGCCGCAAAATCAACATGATAACAGCTCGGGTTTAGAGTTAAACCATAGGAAAAGGAAGCGAGTGGCTAGGCGAACACTTACCAGGGAAGGTATTTTACTTCCCATGGAACTTTGACTTAAGATCCATACAGATGGGTAGAGTTCCTAATGCTTAATGAACCTGCCAAACAAGTCGCGAGTAGTTGAAGTTCGCTTCAAGTAAAGCTTCACACATGAGCCATGCCAGCATTCGGGCCTCCAGAGCCGCCGTGGAGTACCGGTAATGATCTCGCTCTCAAGCCAATATATCATGATTTCTTTTCCCGTTTTGCAAAGATCGAGATCAAACCCCTACCACTACTCCACACGGTGTTCAATGCTCGGACAGCTAGCCAGCGGCTCCATATAAATGAGTGTACACAAGGTGATCAGGTGTGTTTCAGATGTCGGTGCGGGGGCGCGGGTCGTGCGGGTGTGAAATAAGAGTATAAAGCATTTGTCGTTGATCAATCCCTTTTGGGATGGCGGCACGCATTCTACTTCCATTTGTACATTCGCAGTGGCGTTTGAATGCGATGTGGCCTATACAATGACTTGCGGGGGCCAGCCGATGTTCAAGTCAGTGTTTTTTATCCTCCCAGACAAGTCTGGTACCAATTAACCGACCCCGGAGGGATGGAAGGCTTGGTTGGCCCGGGCGACTCATGACCCAGGATTT